ATTAATTTATGCCATCTAGCGTCTTCCTTACCGTGAGAGTCGATTGGTTTATATTAATTTAAACGAAGCGCGTCATTTTAATATAATTTAAGTATATTTATACATAAATACGTCTTGGACTTTATGGAGTGACCTGAATGATGACATGATGATCATATGAGCATTATGAGTCGTGTACTTTTGGATTTTCAAACCTTTTTTAAGTTGTAGTTTGACATAAAATTATGGGAAAATTGGAATTAGGTATAATATAAGGTTATTAGAGAAAACTTGTGTGTATTTAAACTACTTTAAAAAAATCCATATAATCATGTTATACGTAATTTTTTAATGCGCTTAGAGCATGCACAATTGGATTTACCAATAGTTTTTATTTATAAGGTCGGAAATAATGTTTCTCTTTTTTTCCAAGTTTAATTACGTTTAATAATTTAATTATAATATATGGTACGCCAGACCCGGACCTCGATGACACTGAGGTCATCAGTATGAAAGAGATTGAACGTGCGATTCGAAGTTTGAAATGTGGTAAGGCTGCGGGACTAGACAGAGTTACTGCTGAAATGGTCAAGTATGGTGGGCCTCGCGTCTGGGACATTTTTCATCTGTTGTGCAATTTGTGCTGGCGGACGGGGGATGTCCCGGATGATTGGCGATCCGCAGTCATTGTGCCTTTATATAAAGGTAAAGGTTCACATTTTGTCTGCGGGTGCTATCGGGCGATCAGCTTGACCAGTTTAGCAAGTAAAGTTTACTCGAAGGTTTTGACACGTAGGATGCAAGAGAAATCGGAAAGATTTCTATGGGAGGCACAATGCGGATTTAGACCTGGAAGAGGATGCACGGATCAAATGTTTTCTCTCCGCATGATCACGGAAAAGCTTCTGGCTGCTAACCAGAAGATTTTCTGTGCTTTTGTGGATCTTGAGAAAGCATTTGATAAGATTGTAAGGAAGAAAATGTGGGAACTGTTGCCGGGGTATGGTGTGGATGGCCGATTGCTAAGGGCTGTGCAGTCCCTTTACTGTGACTGTAAAGCCTGTGTGCGGGTAGGGCATGACCTGTCACCCATGTTTAGCGTCCAAACGGGCGTAAAACAGGGTTGTGTCATGTCTTCCTGGCTGTTCATACTGTATCTCGACAGCTGTTTACAAAAGCTGAAAGATAGCTGTTTGGGTGTGAAATTGGGTGACATAAAAGTAAATTGTCTTCTGTATGCTGATGATGCAGTGCTTATTGCACCATCAGAGGCAGAACTGCAGGCATTAGTCACGTGTATGAAAGAGGAATGTGAAATTAAAGGTCTCCGTTTGAACGCTAATAAAACTAAGGTTCTGGTATTTGAAAGGGACGAAGAGAGAACGAAGTGTGAAATATGGGCAAATCAGGAATGTCTAGAACAGGTAAATGAAATTGTATACTTGGGGAGTGCTTTTAGCCGGGATGGAAGATGTGATTTAGATGTGGACAGGCGTGTCGCTGCCGGGAACAAAGTCAATGGTGCCCTGACTGCGTTAGTCAAAAGGCAAGGCGTAGTGAAGAGTGCACGCCTTGCAATACATAACGCAGTGTTGGTACCGACTTTGTTATATGGCAGCGAAACCTGGGTATGCCAGAAGAAGCATAAAAGCAAGTTGAATGCAGTGGAGATGCGATCTTTTCGTAAAATGTCCGGCGTTACCATGGCCGACCGAAAGCGAAACGAAGAGATTCGCAATATGGCAGGCTTGAAAGATGACCTTATCACAAAAATTGATAAGGGCGTGCTTCTGTGGTTTGGGCACGTTGAGCGAATGAGTGAAGACCGAATGGTGAAGAAAATATATAGCGCGAAAGTTAATATTAAAAGGTGTCGAGGTAGACCGAGACTAACTTTCGAAGACCATGTGAGCAAATTGCTCGAAGAGGGTAGGGTCAAGAGTACTCGGATACCTAGACGTGCATGTATGAAGAAGATAATGAATCTGAAAGAAGCGAAAGAGGTATGTAAGGATCGTGATACTTGGCGATCTGTTCTCTCTGGCTACCCCGTCAGAGATTGTGCGTGAAGATAAGTAAGTAAATTATAATATATAATTTGTTGTCATCATATATTTATTTATTTATTTAATCTTTCATACACAAAGTTGTACATATACTTATGTACATGTACTTAATGCCATAGGGCATTCTTACCCAGGCAACCACTAGGCATAATCCCCTTGCTGTATAAATCTTGGGAACTAAAGGTGGGGCTCAAAATGCCTATGGAGAATTATTCTACACAATAGATATAAGGCTAGGTAAATAAATAGTACGTACCTGGTTCCGAATCGAGAACCGACCGCAAGGCGCGGTCAGGCATTAAGTATGTGCATGTGGGTAGTGTGGAGTAGTGTGGACATGTATAACCTGATTTAACCGTGGAAGTTGAATCGCCGATCCGCAGGCTCTGCGTTTCTTCAAATGTGCGATCCTCCAGTGATAGTTCAATTTATCTGAACTCAAGTCTGACATCACTTCACTATTTCAGTTCATCAACCTTATCGTACATACAATTAACTTCAACGTCAACCAATCCAACGTTCATCGAAATCAAACACGTGACACACGGCACAACTAATGAACGGCAATCAAAGTTAAACTTCCATTTTCACCCAGCAACAAATTATAATCGAGCACACGCGGTTCTAATAACTTCCCCTTTTACGCGCGACTTCACAGTTCAACGGAGCAGCCGTCACAAGTAACGAACCGTCGTTCAAAGTTCAATATTCAAAACCGCTCAAAGCGACACTCCATTCGAGGCGGTATTAAAGATAACCAAATCTTCGATACTAATTAGGCGCGCACAATACTCAAATTCGGACGTTGATCGCAATCAATGTTAACTTCCAAAACGATTAACCATCCGGCGTCCGCGCAGAAAATCTATTTTCCTAGACTCAACAAAACACCTCGTCGTTGCATAAATTTGCTAACAAAACCGACACTATATAGAGGTTATACGGCACACGACCACGCCGTTCTAGTGACTACACTGCATTGATACTTCCGACGCGCCACACCCAAAACCAACTATGCTCGCGCGAACGTCAAACCGGTAGGAAGTCACCGCGCTGAGCGCCCCCTGCCTTCAATTCTTGAAATTAGCATTTGGCGCGAACAGTTTTGATAGTCCTCTCTTGATGTTAACCTAACACTACCCAAAGAATTCAGAAAAGACCAAAACAGGTAGTAATCTGAATGTACAAGTTCAGGACTATATGGTGTATGCATTAACACTTCCCAACAAAGTTCTATCATGTTTTGCTGAGTGGCCAAATATGTGTTTTTAGCGTTATCACGATGAAAGACTACTCCTTTTCTGTTGATCACTTCCGGTCGTTTTTTCTCAATTTCTCGCTTGAGTCTCATTAGTTGTTGGCAATAGAGATCCGAATCGACGGTTTTGCCTGGCGGTAAAAGCTCATAATTAACTATGCCCTTCCAATCCCACCATACACACAGCATAACCTTATTGCGTGTTAATCCGGGTTTCGATACAATCTGTGGAGCTTGACTACCCTTTGACCATGATCTTTTTCGCACGTTCTTGTCGTAGGTGATCCACTTTTCATCACCAGTGATCAATCTTTCCATAAATGGTTCGATTCCATTACGTTTCAATAGGGAATCGCAAACGACTACCCAAATATCGAGCTTTCAAATGGGTCAAAACTGTTTTGTGATCAATCCTTAATTCCTCAGCTATGTCGTAATTAACTCCACTTTTTCAGCTGGCATCGACTCTATCTTATGAGGGTAACCAGAGCGAGCTGCATCTTTGCCATCAAATTCCCGGACTGAAAACGCTTGAACTAACCTTGTACCACGCTTACTGACATTACATTAGGTCTATAAACGTCATTTTTGCGGCTTGAGTCACATTTACATTTTAGTTTGACACGTTTGAAAATTCAAAACGTTGAACTCATATAAAAACTTGTGATGCAATGCAATAATCCTTAAAATTGGAATGTGAAAAAGAATATTTAAATCGGATGAGAATTCGAAATTTCAATTTTATTTGTTCTTAAATTATTTGAATGAAAAACATACCTCATACCTTGATTTTCCTTCGAAAAGTCCTTGGATATCTCTTAGATTACCTACTTAGCGAATATTTGCGACTGCTCTATAATTTGTTTGTAAGTTCATATTGACTATTTCATTTGAATATTTTGAGTGAAGTTAGTTTAATTTCGTTGTCATTTGTTGTTATAATAATGAAATAAGATTCTATGTTTTGTAAGGGATTTTTAAACATATTATCACATCGGATGACGAAACCATACATATTATAAGCTTTGGTAATAACATTTTAAATATGCATATCTAGATGTAGTTTATTGTCTAAAGTTACTCCAAGATCCCTGATTGCTACTTCTTTAGATAGGGGGGTACCACATAAATGATAAATATAAATGCATCAGTTCCCTACGCCTTTTTATTATTATCGTAATATTTCATAAAAAATACTATCATGGACTAGAAGAGACTCTTCTGCGAGCGTTGGAATATTTCTTGCTTGCTCTACGTGGTAGAGCCTTACTGCAGCTATATTATGGTTGTATAATGAATGGGTCGGCTCGACCGGGGTAGGCCGGGGCTCTCACAGAATACCAACGTAAAATAGCAGCTTAATACTACTGTGCTTCGTATGGTGTGTGTAGAGAACCGAAGACCCTTTTTACTGGAAATGAGGCATTTCATCTTAGTCCTCAGGGGTGACAGCGCATCTGCATTCTGATTCTTAATCGAGGATAGATGTAGATGTCTATGGATCGCAGCATCCACTTACTATCAGGTGGACTGTGTGCTCGTTTGTTACCCTTATTTTATTAAAAGAAATATTTAAAAAAAGTTACCTACACGTTATTATGGATCGTCTGTTTCTGTGGTCACAATCAAAAAACACCAAATATTGTAATACATATTATTTAATGATTATATACAAAACTGTTCATTATTCTCTATTTTTAATCTTCTCCGTTATACCCGATCAACAACTTTTTGTTCATCTTATAGAACAGGTCCCAGAAAGCCATCCGGTCGTGGAACGGTCTCCTTTTGATAATCAGTTCTTTGTCTATGTCTAGGTAATATAAGACGTCTTTCTCTACTGGCAACCATTTCACCCGCAACAGTTCCGTTGTTTCAGGAGTGGGGTCTCTGTGAAAATCGAAAGAAATTGCTTAAAAACTTTATCAAAGTAAGCCATAACATTATATTTAGAGATGGTTTATTCTCTATAATGCAAATGGATCGGTTCGGATTACCATCTAATTAATTAAAAGCAAGATAAAAATATTATCTTGCTTTATGCAAAGTTTTGTATTTTTTTTTGGATAACGGTTCAAATTCATATTCAACATATTTATTGTAAGTTAAGTATTACATTTTTTTTTAATGTTATCCCCCATCCTAGGATTTTTGCCTGTACCGTGGAGGCAGTTTACAAACATAAATTGCACAAGGACAAACATTCAGACCCGGAACAATTATTTGTAAGCCATACAAATACTTTCTTCGTGCAGGATTCGAACCCGCAAGTGAGAACATACTTTTATCAATATTCATTTATGCTGCTCAACATACATTTACTTTAATTAAATCCGGGAATCAGAATTTAGCAAAATAGTGTAAAATTTCTTAATTTCCTTTTTCGAACATTATAGCGTGTTCCATATTTTGCAATGTGCAATAATCACATTTTTTAAAATTTAGTAGCTTTTTCTCTTTTTATGATAAAAATCTACATTCAATCCATTATTCCTTTTATCAAATAGAAAAGAACCGGTGGATACATATTTTTGCAAACAAATTTATTAAAAATTGGTATGACACATCTTTAGACATCATTTTCTAAGGGCGTAAGCGAACTTGGATAATTTATATTTCACTATTTTACTTTTTTTCGGCCATATAACTAAAAAAAACACCAACTAATACGCAAAAGGGTTCCCAAATGGCAGCCTACTGGTAACGGTGAGTTTGGGTGACCTTTCAATGGAAACAGCGACGGCGTGTAAAGTCACATTACGTAAGTCTACAAGCGATTGTGGTACTCGAAATGTGTAAGAGGTGATGTTGGTTATTGAATTGGTGGCAAGTGTTTCTTACATTAAAAAAAATTACGTACCCATATTTTACGAAATTAGTCCACAACGTTGTGATTCTGTCGATGACTAGCTGGTCATCCTCCGTTGGAGTTTCCGGCAATATCGATACATCGAAGAGATAGCCAATTATATCAGAATGGGCTGCACCGTCTTCGGTTATGTTGTTTACATACTTGTTCAAATTTCTGCCACCTGAGTATGAGAATAAATAGTTGTAGACCGTTGCAGCGTTTTTTAGATACTTCTGTATGCTTCTGTGTACTGGATGGTTAAATCTAAAGTCAGATTCAAAGTCCATCAGATCCCATTTTAAATCCTCGCTGAAGTCCTCATCGCCAAAGTAGAACTGACGTATCAGTGCCACTAGGTTATCTTCATCGTCCTTCAAATCGAAAATCTTCTCCAAATGTTTCTTGAACAAATGGAAACCTTGTTCACTATCTAATGGTTTGCTACCGTAAATGTGAAGCATCTCCCGGTTATTGTAGCCGGCGAGAATTTTGATATCTTTGGCTTTTGGTATTTCTCTATTGATAGGATGTTCCCGCACAAATTTCTCCACACCATCGAAGTCTTTCTCAACACATGGATGGAACGTTAGCGAGAGTTCTGACACCGCCGCTATAACTAGTTTTGGTTCGATTGTTGATAGAAAAGTCACGGCGTCAGCGTTATCTTTAGCTTCAAAGCCAAGGTGCTCAGCGATATGCATGGGAGCGTTTTGGTTGGTCGCTTGCATAACCCACGGGCACAGAGATGTTCCGCTCTGCATTATAACTTTATCAAACAATTTCTCTTGCGCTGATTGGAGATGGAAATCAACGGAAGCTCCTCCAGCACTCGATCCAGATATCGTTATCTTGTTGACGTCGCCTCCGAACGCTTCGATGTTTTCATTCACCCATCGCAAAGCTCTGAGTTGGTCTTTCAGGCCTTGATTGCCGGGTATTTCTGGTGTATCCAGACACATAAAACCGTATGGACCCAGGCGGTAGTTGAGGGTGACTAAAATTACGTCGTTTCTAACTAAGTACTTAGGCCCGTATAACAAGCGTGTGGCGAAACCAGTCCTAAAACCGCCACCGTATATCCAAATGAGGACAGGAAGTCGGTTACTGATTGTAGCCTTGTTGGGGGCGTATATGTTGAGATGTAGACAGTCTAGTGTTCCTATAATTTGGTTTTGAAACACTCTTATTTGCGGACATATTGCAGAGTCGTCGCAAGCCTCGAAGACTTCGTCGAAATCGGGGTACGGCATTGACGGCTACACATGAAACATTCATTAAAAACAGATTAGTTTATTTTTTGTTTTATCATAGAACATGATTTGTGTATAACGATGGGGTAATTATTATTTATAACGATTTACGGGTGAAAATTACTAAGAAAATAAAATATCTGCGGAGTTTTTTTCACTGTTTTTGTTCGGTCAGAGGAACACTATTTCGAAACGCAAGTAGAAAACGAAAGATAGAATTTCTTACGTCAAAAAGTATTTTTTTTCTTTAAAAAAACGTTACCTCCACACACGGATACAAAAACCTCGTTTGATAGGTCATTATTTCACATTCAAAAATGAAATAATTAAGAAATAATTTATTTTATTTGTTTCAGGGAGAGCTCTAGCATATCGTTACACACTATGATTTTAATTATATTTAATAACTAGTGATCCGACCCGGCTTCGCCTGGATATTAATATGGAGTTATTTAGATTTAAGAGAGAAGAAAAAAAAACACTTATTTTTATATATTTTTGTATTCATTCATTTACTGTATCTATTCATTTATTACTGTAAACTGAAAGAATTCTGTGCATTAACTTACTCCGAACGGATTGCTCTCGTTAACCCTCGCGTAGGGTATACCCAAGAACATGGAGTAGTCCCCATCGGACGCGTGCAGACCCCGGATCAGGCCCTTCTTCGTTTGAACTAACGGTTCCAACCTCGGTGAGCTCCACACTGCACAAACTAAGATGAGATTGAACAATACAACTTTCATCTCTGCGGTCACTCGACGAAAGGAAACTTGGACGTTCCGATATTTTGGACGATTCTTTTAATGATTTTGTTATATCTATTTTAATTGTGATAAAGTGATAAGTGATGATTGAGTCATAACGCTTATCGTACTCGTATATGCCTATACAGTAATGATTGAGTCACATATAACGCTTATCGTATATTTATACGTACGTCTAGCTTAGGAGCTACTATGACACATATCCTCTGTAATTCTGATAGGATTATTCACTTAACCATCCACCCCGCACGAGTGATTCTCGCCTGACCTGTCCGCGCATTAAATGTCATTATTTTTTACAACCGCGCGAGACTGTCTCAACAAAAACGATTACTATAGCTACATTCAAATAAAAAATATTCTCAAAAGACTCAAAGAATTCAAAAATTAATTTTGTTAAAAGAAAATTAGTCAAATTAAAAATAAAGGCACAAAATAAAGCTTAAAAATGGGAATATAAAAATATCGTATTTATTTTTTAATTTCGAGATTTACGAGAAAAGTATAATATTTACTGGAGACTGTTATTTTATGTTATAATAGTACTTGATATTACCTTTAAAATGACACCAATATCAATAATACCTTATTTACTCAATATACATAAGTAAGTATATAATGTTTACCCAATATAAATTTGAATAAATAAGTAAATAAATAAATAAAAATCAGTCTTAATAATTTGTAGACACATCTCAACAGATATTTTGTTTATAAATGACTATCAACGTGTTAATAGTGAATCATTCTTATATGTTTAGCATTCATTTAAAAAAAAAAAACTGATTAGAATACATTTTAAACAACATGTAATCAATAAACGATGATCGCGTATAGTGATTAAAATTTCGAGCTAAATTATTATATGTAAACGTTTTGGAATTGTCGAATTGATACATATTTCCTAAAGAAAATATCTTCACAATTAGTTCAATGTACAATAGCTTTAGAAATAACGTATAAAAACAAATAATTTATCACATTTTGATCGAATTTCTCACACTTTAACAGCCCACAAACAAAAATAGCGAAATTTAATTTTAACATTTTTGTTTCTAAATATTTTGTTACTATTGTACAGATAAAATTCATTCTCACAGATGACAAATTTATAATAGCACCATCTATAATTTTTTACTGTATTAATAACAGCTATATTTTGCACTGTACACGTTTAAACCGAAAGATGTCTTTTGGTGACTATAGTCAGCACTTAATGGTAAAATTTTAGAATTCTTTGACGACAATCTCTATTCTGTAAGACTGTTTGACTACAGACCATTAAGTGTTTGACATTGGCCTAGATATTATCACTGAACTTTATATAGTATATATATAGGTCAGTGGATATTATGCTTGTATTTACTCTGAAACATTTTCAGTATGAACGTCAATCGTCAACAAACATAAAGCAACACGGGCCACCGACGTTCTGCTCTATGTCAACAAACGACACAATTTGTCCAAGCAACAATTAAGTGCACAGAACTTTACTCTCAAGTGTTTACCAATTTGACATTGACAGTAGGAACGTAATCAATGTATGTTTAATTTAATAAAACTTTATTTATTTGTAACGCATATGTAATATATTTAACTTTCAGCTTTCTGCACCCCTTTTCCATATTATAATCTTTGACTGTGCCAAATCTCACACTCTTCCGTGCGAGTAATATGAAAATGGTGTTCAAAGTTTTCCCTTCACGTATTAATATAAAACTGTGTTAGTTTATCTAGTCATATAGATTTATTAACTGTAGATATAGAGAATTACGTGTAATCTTCATTTGTATCTATGTTATCAGTTTGTAATAAACTGATTCCGTTAAGAGCATTACATCCAAGTTGATTCACTCGCTCCGTACCTTCGTTATCTCTCAACAACAATTATTTCTACGCTAGTAATATATAAGTCAATGCTGAGCAAGCGTAAAGGGGCTTCTCGGCCTCCAAGAACGACGTTCGAAAAATTATGTACTAGCCTAGTTGTATAAAGAATTTATGAGTTTTAACTTTTTGGCCCCTGACCACGAACAACTCGAACTGAAATCACAAAAATTACTGTCACTTCCAGAAAATTAATATAACATTATGGTTGAGATAATTGTCTACTTCGTTTTATTGTCTTTTTTATATAGAAGAGTGGGACAAACGAGCATGCGGTTCATCTGATCGCAATTGTCGGCCACCCCCGATTAACAAATACAAAACCAGGGGAATTTCAGACGCGTCGCCGACTTTTTAAAAAGGAGTAAGCTCGTTTCTTGAAACTCCCTAAGTCGTATCGGTCCGACAGTAGTTGATGGCCAAACATCCCGATGATGTGTGAAATGCGTTGATGAAATTTTGTGGCTGGAATTAATCCGACCAATTCCACTGAACACTCCCAGCTGTAAATGCGATAGAAAATGCAAAGGGATGCAACATCTCTTCGTCTCGTCTTCATCGGTCGTCGACGATTCGAGCAGCTCTGAGCTGGATGCGGTCAAGTGGAAGGAGTTGGTACTAGGGAGCCCCGGCCTAGAGGTTAGAACAGTATTCCATGTTAGGGCGAACCTGCCCCTTGTAAAGTTGCAAGCAGTGTACCGGCATACAATACTATCCCCCTCTGCTGAGCACACCAAGCTTTTTAGAGACCAATTCAGCTTTTCCTTCTAAGTGACCACGAAACTGCCCGTTATTCGATATGTCAACGCTGAAGATTCCGATGCCAGCATCCCCTTGTTACCTCAGACAGCTGAGGTAACAAGGAGAGTACCCTGAAATTGACAAGATGCGACAAAGGGGTTCTTTTTAGTGGTAAACGCACAAATTTATGTCTTCTGAGCATTGAACTTAATTAGATTTAGTCGTCCCAATCCGAGACTTTATCCGGCAAAAACTCGACTTCAGACACAAGTTTGTTTTGGTACTCGGCGACGTTTTCCCGAGAAATATAAGCACAGCCGGTGTATAAAACATCACCAGTGCACGTTACTGGTTTGCGACATATTATTGATAAGCAGAGGAAACTGCGTAGGTGATAGCACGTAGCCTTCTGGAACACCAGCATAAATAGGCTTGTAAATGAAGTATGCACCTTCTGCTACGACTTTGTTGCTCCAATCTGTAAGAAACTCGCTGATCATGTTGCACAAATTCTCGGGAAGCCCATAGGAATGGAGTTTCGAAAGAAGCACTTTGTGCCAAACCCGAATGAAGGCCTTCGCTATGTTCAATATCACGGCCAGGGTGTCCCTCTCTGCCACCGCCGATTTATGAGTCAGGTAAGTCAGAAGATCACAAGCTGAGCAACCCCGATGGAAATCGTACTGACTGTCACTTTTCAGTTGGTGATCCTCAACCTCATGAGCTGATAGTTCACAATAATTTTCATTATTTTGGTGAACAAGTTAGATAGCCTGAGTGATCGACTTTCGGTTATTTTTCAGGGATCTGGTGCACTAAAGCTTTGTCTTTGCGTTCTGGACTACGCCTAGGAAGAAAGAGTTTTATAAAAGACACGCTACAACTGGTGCCAACTAGGGAGAACACGTCTTCAGCACAATGGGAGGAACTCCATCAATCCCACTCGACGTCTAGGGAGAGTACTGCTATGTGCACCGAGCGCTGTGTAAACCATATCGTACTGAACTGAAGGCGACATCATACTTCTTTTTAACAGCGCTGGTGAAGCACTCTTATTATGGCGCGACGCAATTTTACTGGAGCGACCGAACCAGGCAGCACAGATGTAGAATAAAGAGTTCCATTCCCTGAAATACCACATCAGCGACAGCATCACGTTGCGATCATTCGGCGAGAAGCATACCCTCACCTATCCTCAAGGGAAGGATGCAAAAAAGACCGCATCCTGTCCCAATCGGCCGACCTATAGTGCCAAACATGGCGGCGATCTGCAGAACGCAAGCGCGATAGGAGTGTGAGTGGCACCATAGTTCGGATCAGGCAATGGTCCAATGAGCCAAGAGGGGCGTCGACGGAGACCTGATATCCGTCCAGATGAGAGGTCAGCAGAGGATAGCAGGGGTGCTGGTACCCTCCTGGAATGATTTCTTATTTAGGCCTCCGATCACCTGCACTTAACAGGCGAAGTAAGCTTCTACTTCACGCTGGTTATCTGTAAGGTCGTGGGTCTCCTCGGTTCAAGTCGGTCCATCCATTCATTATATTTATTCATTACAGTTCTTCATTTCATGTGTTACCAGGTCGTCACTCCATCTAGTCTCGTTCACCCGTGCGATAGCAGCTGCCGTGTTGCTCTTCCACTGTTATTTGTTTTCCTATATTATTAAATGTAATCTATTTCGTCATTGTTTATGCGTTACACATAATACTTAGTAGTAAGTAGCTTTGCTTTATTATGCCCTGCAGTGGGCGACAAGGAGGTGATGATGAAAGTAGTTTTGCAACTTTAAAGTATTTAGTTTAGTTTAAATAGGGCCCCAATTTCATTTTTACCCCGGGGCCCTTGGTTACATAGCTACGCCACTGATTGTAACATATAGCATATAATATAATAGAGATATAAGATAAACATTATTCAACACCATCTGTGCCAAACATCCATTGCAATGCCTTCTTTTGTCAGAAAACTAACGGCCCGCACACAACAACCTTTGCGAGTGTGCCACACAACAATTCAATTAAATATATTATATTATATACGTGGTAGAGCCATGCTGCAGCTATATTATGGTTGTAGCACGAATGGGTCGGCTCGACCGGGGAAGGACCACGCTCTCACAGAATATCAGCGTAAAATAGCAGCTTAACAATGCTGTGTTTCGTATGGTGAATGTAGAGAACCGGAGACCCTTTTTACTGGAAATGAGGCATTCCATCTTGGTCCATCACGGGTGACAACGCATCTGCATTTTGATTCGTAATCGAATATAGATGTAGATGTCTATGGGCCGCAGCAACCACTTACCAACAGGTGGACTGTGTGCCCGTTTGTCACCCTTATCTTATATAAA